TTTTTGTAGCTGGATTTTATACAGTTTTTCATACATGATGTGCAAAATAATTTTAACATAATATTTAATAATAATAACAATGTGAAAGATTCAAATATTTGATCTAAACCTTGTGAATAAGAGAATAATAATTTATTACATAATATATTTTTTGTTAGATTAAAAAATATAATACAACAAAAAAAATTAAATTCAATGCTTTTTATAAATTATTTTTCTTTAGGATTTTCTAATAGCAACACAAAATAGAAAAAAAAATATCGAAAATATCATCATTATAATTGTAATAGAATTGCAATATAAATTATTTTTAAAAAATAATAATATTATATATTATAATATTTCAGTATCTATTTAATTTCTTAAAAATAATTTTCTCCTATTATTATTCCATCAAAGTGATTTGGTAAGTTTATAAAAAATGTCTTTCAAATTCTCTTTCAAGTGACTTTTTCAGATTTTATATAAAAAAATTATTTAATTTTTTGATATTTATTCATTTTATATATTTATATATAATTTTATAATTTTTTGAGTCAAACATCAGTTTGTTGTACTTTTTTTAGTTCAATACTTCTAAAATGATAATAGAAAAATCTCATAATTGGTATTATATATATATATATATATATATATATATATATATGATTTTTTAAAATTAAAATTAAATTTACAGTCATTTAAATATTGTGTTTATATTATGTATTAATAAATATTTATCATTTTAACTATAAATGTTTTTGGTAAAGCAGAACTACTTAATAATAAGTAATTTGGACTTTATTGTACATGATTCTATAATAAAAAATATACTATGTCCAAGACTTAGACAATTTTTTTATTTCTAGTTGAATGAAAATAAATTATTGTATTAGAAGACTTTATTATTTATAGATTTTATAATGAAATTATTGATATGTATATTAAATAGTTAAATGATTTTCTAAACTTTTCTATTAAGGATTAAATAAAGAAGAAGTTTGCTATAAAATAATCAAATAAATATTTAGAAAATAATCATGATTAAAACTTCAATGGTATAAATACAAACAAAAAAATATTGAAATGTGAGTATATTTAAATGAGGTACATGAGTTAATATAAATAATTTATTATTATTATTATTATTATTATTATTTCTTTTAAATCTTTTGCATAATTTTTAAAACTAAATAATATTTAAAAGTATATATTTTTATTTTTGCAATGTTTTAGTTCTAAAAAACCATATTTCTTGCAAACTATTATAATCACTAGTGTTTATTAATAAAATAATAAGAAAAAATATTATTTATCTTTTTTATTATTATATTTGATTATGTTAAAAAGTATGTAGATATATTCAAATGTTTTTATAAAATTATGTAAATAGAATATCATATGCATCTTAAAGTATAGTATATTTATTTTAATTCAAAAACTTTTTATTTTTTAATAAGTTATAAAATTTTAATTTTAGCTCAAAATTTAGAAAACCAATATTATACTCATAAAAATTGAATTTAAAAATAATTTAAAATATTAATATTGAAGAAATACGTACATATAAACCATATTTTCTGTAGTAATATTTCAATTAAGCACGATCTAATATATGATATCATAACATTAGATTGTTCAGTTTAAAATTTTTATGTTGATATTACTTATAAAAAAACCACAAGCAATCACAAACAAAATTTTAATTTGACTATTTTTACAAGTAATTACAACTTTTAATCCTTTCTATGCTCTACTTTTCAATTACACACATAATATTTTATACATGAACATATATTATTTTGGTTTTTAACATAATTTTAATTTCATCTTGAAAAGATTTTTAATAGACATTGATCAAATATCTTTTAAGATCAAAGAATTAAGATCATTGCATAGAAATTATTAACAACCTTCTGAGTAATTAACTTGATAATGCACTCATTGTGGCAAATGAAGTTTTAAATTTTATTTTGGCTCATAAATCTTATTTTTTCCATATCTTCTATAAATTTTTCATTTTATATTTAAAAAATTATATTTGGATATGAAGTTTATTTTATTTGTTTGTTTCACCTTATTTTTTATGAGCATAAAATTCACTCTAGTGGATTTTGCATTTGAAGAGTTATAATATTTACATTGATTTTTTTTTTGTATAAACTCTAATAGTAAAAACCTCAAATCCCATTACCACTTATAAAATATTTTATTTCTAATATTTGGAATATATATATACACAAATCATCTATACATCATAAGAGTTTAGCCTTTAATATCTTTAGACTTAACATTTTTATGTTTTGGAGGTTATATATATATATATATATGTATATATATATATATTCTTTTTTTTACACACATATAAATTATAATAAAAGTAAAAGTAAAAATAAATATTTATATGAGTTTTTTTTTTTTTTTTTTTTTTTTTTTTTTAACCAACCATGTAAAAAGACAAAGAAGAATCATATACAAAACTTTAATTACTCATTTATATAAATATAAAGAAAGTATTCAAAATTATTTTTTATTTTGTTAATATTGAATTCAATATCAAAAAAACTTATCAAATCTTCAAATTTATATTATTTAGGTCTCTAAATAGATTCAATAGTTAAATCAATGATTTTTTTCAAAAAATATTTTATAGAAATTAAAAATAAAATCTTTCGTAAAACATTGTTAATTTACACCACAATGGATAAAAATATATATTCTTTATAGATGTGTATTTCAGTGTTCCATAAAGTGTATTGTGGTGGCATTAGTAACAAATATGTATGTATATATATATATATATATATATATATGATTAGCTTTGTTTATATGTCTTTATACAAGAGTTTTATTTTAAATCTTTGTTAGAAGTATGTAAATGCATTTTTTAAAAAAATAATGCTAGTTGATTGTAGTAGGATTTTAATATATATATATATATATATATATATCAGGATTTTTTTATTTATGTGTCTTAATACTAATTTAGTATATTTTATATTTTATATTAATATTCTAAGAATGAATAATAAAAATAATGTTATTAGAAGAAAATTTCATAAAATTATCTTGTAGATTAACAATTTTGTTAGTGTTGAAGTATTATAAGGACTTCAAATCAAAAAAACGTAAGATAGTATTTTAAAATATTTTTTTAATTAGTATTTATTAACTTATGAGCTTGTAAAATATTTAAGAATATGAGTTGATGTATTGGTAAATTATTTAATTGTATTGTGTTAAAAAAGTCATGAAATAAAAAATGAATCTTGAATTTTAACAATATAACTCCAACGATGTAATAAAACCAATGGTTTTTTTGTTTTGTGTTGGTTCTAAAATTTGAACTTAAATTTAAACTACAAAGTAACAATTCGAATTTCATTTATTTTTACTGTTGTTTGTTAGATTCGATTTTTCTGAGGACATAACTCTTTCTTTTTCTGTTTAAACTGATATTTTGTGGGTATTCTAAGATTTGATAATTGCTAAATGAATATACAGAAAAAGAGATGTGAATAATGCCAAATCAATATGCTACAAGCATTAATCAGAACAACATGGGCAAAGTAAAAGCATCTTTATACATAACCCAACCAAGTCAAAAGTAACATTGTGTACAATCTAAACGATCATCATATTCTTAAGTACCACATGCACCGGGCACAATCACTGTTTCTTTAACAATATCCATTTAAATTCAATTTATTGTTAATATGACATCTACAACATGGTTATCACTTTTGTCTTTGTTCCCCAAGTATCCATTACATGATACTTTTGAGTCTTTTTGCAATTGTATTTATAACATTGGTTTGTGTTAAATTAACAATAAAATTCAAGATTACAATTTTGATACCCTACATTTATAAATACAGTTCATAAATAAAACAAAAAATAGACTTTGGAAGAACAGTTAACTAATTTTTTTATGACATACAATTAATTGTTTTTAGAGACAATGTAGACTTAATTTGTGACCTAAAAGTGTTGGAGATACACGATAAATATAGATACATATATATATATATATATATATATATATATATTAATAGATAACACAGAAATGAGAATATTTATTGATAAAACTTTCAAATAATCTTACATTATGTTGAAAATTTGAAAAATTCATAATGACAAGCTTGGAGCCCGATATGAAACACTAAGCCATAGATTCAAGACATGTCTGGGATATCTAAGTAGATAAAAAAAGCTTATATGAATTCTAATCACATCAAATGCCATACCGTTTGGATAAATGGACTCAGAGTACCTTACAATTTCCAGGCTATCGAAGTTTGGAAAAAAAAAACAAAAAAAAACAAAGAATTAAAAGTAAGCAATCGCAAAAGATAAATTAAAAAATACATGTGTCTAGTTCGTCATCAAAAGATTGTAACATCCATGTAGTTTATTATTTATGCACTTCTGTCAGGCAGAAGGTCACTCTAATCTTGTATGTAATGCTCTCACAATCCTGCATTGGTAAAAACTAGTCATTTGGATTCACATTCGGGTTTAAAGATTGCGAATTACTCTGGATGTAAGGATTTAATGAGCAACCAAAAATAGCGAGCAGGTCACAGTGTTGGACCATGCTCACCTGGTATCCTCGACTTGAGCTGCAATAGGTTCCAAAGAACGAATGGGATTGAAATCTGATGCCATATGAGCTCGATCACAGTCCACAACGCAAAAAGGTATGTTAAAGGAAAACCTGCAATTCCGCAAGCGGAGCAGCAGCGAAATGTGAAAAATAGGTAAAAGACTAGACACATGATTCGTGTCCTCAACAGCTACGCGACAAGTGCAAAAGAGAACTGCAGCAGGATCTGTTGCGCAGAGAGAATCTCCATAATTTAAGACGACTCCTACCCAAATTCTATCGTATTCACGATGAAACAGGGATGACCCTGATGTACATGAACCATCCATCAATGAACTCAGGTCATACGTGTCACAGAGCACGTTTGCGATTCAAGACTAAGAAGGCTTCATTTACAAGCGACCCAGACAACTGATGACCCAAAAGTCAAAAGCTTCACAAGCAATTCAGTTAACGCAACATAATGAACAACTCTTATCAAAACTGGGATAAGATGCGCACTCCCGACAAGTAGTGGTTCATTCAGGTCCACTAGTCATTACAAGCACATCTATTCTCCAATCTCAACATCCCTTGTTAACCTCTTCCGCAGTGTCACTCTCCTAATAGCTCAGGGTTGGAACCCTATCCTAAATCCTTGTCCTTTCCATTCTACCTATGAACCGGGTATCATCTCAGTAATGATGCACTAATAGGCAAAAGACGGTCCCGCATCAAGTCCCAGAAGACAAAGACAGCAGCCATTCCACCTAGATCAACGCCTGATGTCAAATTTCAAGGACACCGTTCATCTCATGATGATTGCTTCGACACGCTCTCAGCGCTTCCATCCTAATGAATTGAAAGTAACCTAACACCTAACAAAATTATCAGCTCTCTTAAACTACACATTTCTTCGTAAGAAAAGTAATCTCGCCACCAAGTACAAAGAGTGGAAACTGCATCATCGTCCTTAAAAGATGATGAATGTAACTGTTTTCATTGTATGATCCGCTCCACAAAGAATAATTGCACACTCTTAAGTCTTCGTCGATGCGACTCCTGCAACTTCAATCAAACACCCGAAGTAAAAATCCTTGCAAGTCTTTTTCTAGCCCGTGAGTATGCGGTTCAATAAGTGCACGAGATCGCAGCCACCGTACATCATTAAACCTTCTTCGAGCTCCTGAAACTGTCTCTCAACCCCGCGAACTTCTTGAGGCATTGAGCCTTGCTCTTCCCAGGAACGGAAGTTGCAATTCTGTCCCACCTGTTCACTGTGTCTTTTGGAAAAGCCTTGATGGCATTAACCAAAGCCACTTCTTGTGCCTCCGACCACTCCTCTCCTTCCGCAGGGCCTCCGTTTGGGACCGTTCCATCGCTTTGGGCAATCCCCGGAGTAACGTTCTTCAGCTCTGCCCCGTTTTCGCGCCTCCTCCCGCTCGCACCGTTTTCCTGACTCTTTTCACCTCCCGCTGTGCCATTACACGTTTGAGGGTAGCCTCCTTCATTCTCCTTCGTCAAAAGAGGAGAGTCTGTGACCACATTTCCCGTGTTCTTCTGCAGGGATGAGTCAAAAGCTTTCGAAGAGTTCGGTTTCTGCACGAGTACAGTCTTCACGGCTTTCACGATCTCATCGGCCGATCGACTCGAACGCATGTAATTTGCAATCACTTCCCAACGCTGCGAGGTCCCTTTTGGAAACTTCTGCACGGCTTTCCTTAAAAGGTCCACCTCTTGCTTTGACCAGGGCCTCTCCTCGGTCACAGGAGTAGATGTTCTCTTGACCTTCTCTGCAACTCTCTCCGAAGTCTTCTTGGCATGCGTCTTTGATGGGGTCGCGTCCAAGGTGCACATGGATGGACTAGAATTCACTCGAGTGGGAGTCCCAGTGGCAGCTGAGTCCGAGGAAATAATCATCTCTTCCCCGCTTATAACCTTTCTCAGATACTCCACTTGTTCCTCTACATCCCCCATTCCCTCCAGCTTCTCGCACAGCCCTCGCAAACGAGATATCTCCAATGAAGTGCAAAACATATCCACATCAGAATCGGAAATCCCGCATCCCTTCGCCACCGCGCTTGCTGTCAAGCCCCGTAACCTAGCCTTCTCCCTTCTCAACAACTTCTTCTCCTTCTCCTTAAGCTTCTTTAGGGCAGAAGCCTCCTCCGCGGCTTTCCTGTCTTCCTCCTCTTTCCGTAATCTCTCTTCCTCCAGCGCCCGTGCCGCCTCCTCTTCTTTCTCGCGTCTCGCCTGAGATTTCGCTTGCTTCTTCCGCAGCTTCTCAGCTTTCTCCATCTCTTTCCTGGCTATGATCCTGGGGTCCTTCTTATACGCGTTATCTGTCAACAGCCTGATACGAGCATTCTCTTCCTTCCTTGCTTTCTCTCGGAGCTTTGCATTCTGCCTCTCCATCCACCGCTTGTGCTCACGACTCTCGGCCTCCTCCAGATCGAAGTCGTCAGCGTGGGGGAACTCCCTCCAACTTTTGAAGCTCCACCAAAAATCGTAGAAACTATCCACGCTAGCCATGTCGGTGTCATTGTCGCCGAGGAAGGGAACCGGCTGAATCGTAGACCACCGAGCATTCCGAGCAAAGACAGACCCGAATACCTTGAAAAAATCCCCAGGGGCACAATCGCTGGGAACCTCGTCATCGAACTCGTCAGTCGAATCATAAGCTCGTCGCTTCACGGGATCAATTAGAACCTCGTATGCCAATTGAATCGCTTTGAAGTGTTGGTCGATCTCATCCTTCTTGATTTCCTTCTTCTCCTCAGTCTCTTCAGTCAGAAGCAGAGCGGCATGCTTGTCAGGATGATGTTTCAACGCGGCCTCTCTATAACTCTTCCTAATCTGATCTTCGGTAGCTAGAAACCTTAGATGGCTCAGACCAAGTAGGGCATAATGGTCCTGATTTTCAGCGCCGTCACCCGATTTTTTTCCTTTGAATCCGTAAGAATCTGCCGAGGGAGAGTCGCTCTCTTTATCCTTCGTATCAGGCACCACCTCCTCCTCCTCTTCCGCAGGTTTCGTATTCACACCTACAGTGCGTTTCGCCGCTTCGTGGAAGCACATACCTGCAGGTTCCAGACCAACCCGGGGATAGCATTTGTTGTTCGAAGCCACATACTCTGGCAGCACCTCTGGAATATCAGCTGCAAAATAAGTGATGGACAGCCGGTCCTCTCTGCCCGGCATCTTAACAGGTTGTACCCCCTCTTTGAGGATGCGCTTCACCTTGGTTATGTCAATCGTCGCTGACTAGACCGATAAAGATTGCTGCAGTCGCTGCACATTCAACCCAACGACATCACACTTTCACCTCAGCGAAAAGCACTGGTACGGAGTTCAAAAACATTCCACAGCAGCCACCATGATACACCCGTGATTAACAACAAAATGTTAACATGCCTCAACTAGCGTATACACTCAATACCACACTAACAAGTCGCAGGAAGTATGCCAACCGAACCCCTCAACTAGCATCCTGTTGAGAAAAATTAAGCCTGAAACGAGTGCATGCGTACTCAACAAACATATCTGTTCAACCTGCACATCCACTACCTCAAGCCTGGACATAGGTTCCTTATTTCACTGTTCTGAAAAAAAGCGACCGTGTCACGGCAACACCAACATCAGGGACGCCACCAGAAATAAACCAGATTCTAAAAACAAGGACGTCGCAATCACCCTATATCGCTGTCCTCAAAAACACACCCAGGGGTGCACCAAATCTTCAGTGCAACGATCAACAAGTACGGCATGGACAATAAATTGACGCCTCCCGAACATATTCTACATTATAGTTCAGGGTGTTGACGTACAACTCAAACTGCCTCGAGCGTCGCTGCTTCTCCAGTACTAATGAACCAAACTTTGACGAAACGTGAACATATATGCAATTCAAACTTCCCAAGTAGTCCAGAGAAAGTCCTGGAGCTCCCACGCTTACTTCAGACTGCGCTATTTCCATCACAAGAAACAAATCGGTCACATTGATCTTACAACCTTCTTCCACACACCCATCCTGCTTTAAACTCACAGCAGCTTCACACTGTCACCCAAGGAAAAATCTTGCGCAAACACCAATTCACATCACTGAGAGTTCAAACAAGACTTCAACCCATCTCATGCTGCAGACTGAAATGTGAAGTGGGATAATTTCGATAGTTCTACCATCAGTTTAAGTATCAAGGCTCTCGAATTTATGCAATGTAAAAAACAATCTCCTGAAACCCTACCATGCCCTCAGACTAACGCAAACCCTAACCCAACAAAAACCACAAAACCTGACGCGATAACGCGCAACCGATTCCCAACACCCAGCTCTCCGAACGCAGCGACACGAAGCAAGCATGCTGACACAGCAGTCGCATTCTCGTCTAAAACACCATTTATTATCAACGTAAGAACCACTGCCACTTACCAGACTTCAACCTCAGGGCCTCGTATCCGACTAGCAGGCGCATGCTAACAAACGGGAGAGTGTAAAGCAGACAAAAACGATACAAGGGGAACCAACTCATCCTCGAAGATTACGTGAGAAATTCATCTTGGGCGTCGTTCCTAAGGCGAGTGTTAGCACAGACCAAAGCATGCTCATCACACCAGAAACGACATGGCCAAATCAAATTCTCTTAATTAGAAAAAAGTTAACCTTCACAAGCCACACTCGGCTTCATCTCACAATGAGTCAAAATGCCAGGGGTCAGAAACGAAAGAGCTACAGAAGCGAGGTGGACAAAACCCAGTGCAGACGACTAAGCAGTGTAGTCAAGCAATTGCAATTCAACGCGGTGATATGGTTCAATCTGGCCCAAAACCTTCACGCACACTTCATCAATTTGTTGATTGAAAGGCGACTAATAAGCACACATAGCGAGAATCATCAGCACACCAAAATGAGTAGTGAGCAGTACCGGGCAACGACAGACCTCCGAGGCTCCACACAACTTCGCTTTTTGTTTTGTGTTGATACAGCAAAAGCAAATGAGAATGTTTCTCCGCCCAGGAGTACAAAATTCTAGGGCAGTATCGGGCAAGGTCTACATAACGATGGGCGCAGAGCTGCAGGGACTGCGCGAGGGGGCGGGGGGAGCAACGGAGCAGACGCAGACTCCAAACCCTAATCGCCGTCCTCGCTTCTTCACCTGGCACACAACTAACCCCCAGTCGGTAGCTTTGCCTTTTCCACCACCTTTCATGCAAAAAGTAATTTTACACACCCCCTAAATTTCTGCACTTTAAAGCAAACTTTTTTTCTTCTTCCGATTGGCTAATTCGCCTCAAGGTGGTGGAAACCGTTTCATGGTAACGTGTGAACCAGTTTGCATGTGAGCGTCTTTTGTAGGATTGGTGATGTGGGAAAATTTGTTGGGATATACCTCTCATGTCAGCATTGATTGGGTCAATGTTGGTGAGAGTTGATGTGATTATTTGTAAGTGTTTTTGGAATATAGGTTTTGTGGACAATTTGAGTTTGAAATTGTCACAAATTATTGTAATTTAAATGGTTAGAAATGTTCACACTCCATTTGACTGTTTACGTGAGTAAAATATCAAACAATTAATTTGCATGCATATATATATATTTTAAGTTTTTGTAGAAAATAAGTCATGAAAATCAGTATTTGTAAGATTGTCAATTTGCTTCCATTTATTCTTTTAATATCATAATTTGCTAATTTATAAGATATTTATAGTCCTTTTTTATTTGTCTCAAATCTAAGACTTCTTCTAGCCTAAAGTTTTGATTATTATCTATTTTCAACAAGAAGTAGTAGCATTTTATTTATTTATTTATTTATTCACATATTAACTATTTTATAAGATTAAATGAAATAAACATAATAATCAAAATAAATCTTTAAGGGCAATTGCAATCAACATGCAACTAAATTAATGTATCTTTAAATTAAATAATAAATGGTCAAAATATTTGATTATCCAACTTGTTAGGAGATTAATTGGTCTTAAGCTTATAATGAAGAATTTGTATTTTAGTACCAAATTATAACATATATATATATATATTTTATAGCTACTTGCATTAGCTCTTTGTTATTCATGAGTTTATTTTAGCCATGTATTTATTTTTGTATAAAACTATAATAATCTATTTAACAACTATTTTATTTTTAGATTTTTTTTTGATAAATCATAAATATTAAACAATTAATAATAACCATAACTAGCAAAAAATGGTGTTTGTTGAATATAAAAATATATTACATTATTATATGAAACCTAGTGGCAAAAATAATGTCTAATTGTCTTAACAATAATTGATAAGATATTGTAAATATTACTCTAATATGTTAATCTTACTTTAAGTTAAGTTTCTCTATCAATTAAAAGATAAAAAATTGAAGATATTTTAATATCTTTAAAAACACCTTTCAAAAGTTTGATATAATTTAAAGTCTCCAATCAAATATAATGTTAATTAGGTATCTACGATATTAATAGATACTATAAAAAATCCATTTACTCCTTTATTAATATTTTTTTTTATATAACATAAAACATATGTATCAATCAGATTAAAATATCCACTATCACAAAAATCAAGTTATAAAAAACAGGAGTTGATAGATCTATAATAAAGTTTCTTGGAATAAATAAAAATTGATGTTTTAGAATAGGTAATGGTTTCAAAAGTTAATATGGTCAACAATGTATAGTTCTCATTTAAGAACAAAATATCATAAGATTTATGAACTATTTTCTATCTTTTTATATGTAAGGTTACAAAAAGTCTCTCAAAATAAGATTTGATTGTTTGTTGTATCTAAAATATCTTACTTCTAGAAAGTTTTGTTGTGCATAAAGAACACATAAATAAATTTTATCTTTCAAATATCTTTAGAATAGAATGGATTATTTTAAATTTTAAATTTAGTAGAATTATTAGAAATTTTATATTTTAAAATTTAATAAATAACACAATCTTATGACATACTAAGACATAATTTGTCAAAAAATCAAGAATCAATAATAAATAAATAAATATATATACATAATTTTAATTTAGAGATGTAATTTTTATAGTTTCTAATACACACACATATATATATATATATATATATATATATATATATATTATTTGCAATATGTGTTATTAATATAAGATAAAATTATTCAATATGGCATCCAATACATATTTTTTCCTATGAATAATATAAAATAATAAATATCAATTGTGACATAAACATGTTCCAACAAACTTAGAAATGATTCAAGACAAATGCAAAAGTAAAACACTCTTTTCATTAGCATAAGCTATGATTGAACTAAAAGCACCTTTTAGATAAGAATATTATGTTTTAAATGAGTCTATAGTAATAGTTTATTTTATTTTATTTTATATGATAGATCTCATAATTAATTTTAATTATTAAAATTATTTTTATATCAAAATTACTAGAATGAAGCTTATTATTTAAATCTATTTATAGTATTATTATACATAATATAAAATCTATTGATAATACTATAAATCAAATCACAAAATATCTATAAAATCAAATCACAAAATTTAGATAAGATAAAATATATTATATAAGTAAAGCAAAATATATATATATATATATATATATATATATATATATCAAAATTTTATATAAATCTAGAAGTTGTCTAATCTACAATAATTTGTTATTGCTTGTCCAATGTAAATTACTTTCTAAGTATTTTTTTTAAACCATCAATTTTTTATTTTTTATTATTCCAATTAGTGTCCTTGCTCTATACTTTTGTTAGAAGTTAGATTTTTTAAGATACAAGAGACAATTTTTTTTCCACAACTTTCTTATATAAATAAGAAATATTAAAAATAATTCAATTTTTGATTTGTATAAAGATCAAATTTCTTTAAAATTTACAAATAATAAACCAAGAAATTAAATTTGTTATAAAATATGATAGTTAGCTCTCTTTTTTTTATTCACAAAATTATATGATCATATCTCATTATTTTAATAAAATTATATCAATAGTTTTAATTTTTAAGAATATACAAATAAAAGTAGAAGAAATTAAAGAAATGTAGAATTTATGAATAATTTTGATGAATTTAAGAAAAAAAATGTATTTTATTTTTTATTAAAAATATATCAAAGTTTGATTTTGCAATTGTAAACCTTTTTAATTTGAAAAATAATAAAATTTAATAATTTTGTGAAAGGAAAATATATTCATGTATAAGTAAGAAAGAAGAAAGAAGACTAATAAGAAGCATCTTTATAAAATAAAATAATAATAAATTTTATATTTTAAAATAAAATAAAATAAAATAAAAATATAATAATAAAGTTAAAAAGATTAAAGGTATCTTTTCTTCTATATGTATTAATTAGCTAAAAATCTATGTAAAATTATTTTAAGTATAATAAAACTTAAAAGAATAAATATCTATCTTGTAAGATATTTTGTTAATAGTTTTAAGATCTAAGAATATACTTAGAAAAGTTATTATAACTACAAAGTGCATTTATAGATTCAACATGCATCTAAAAAACATTTATTACTTATAGAATAAGATATTATTTACTTGATACATTACTATTTACTTCTATTTATTTAGATTTTTTAGATTTTTATAATATTTATACTATAAGTAATTTTTAATAGATACTTTAGTTCTATATATATATATATATTAAAAAACTATATTGTACATAACAAAGAAAAATAGAAGAACCATTAAAAGATAAGAAATTAGAGTTACCTTGATAAATTTGTTGACAAAGAAAAAAAACATATAGTATAGATGTATTATTAAATTATTTTATTTTAAAAATGGTATTTTTTAAAATCAAATCTTATCTTATTAAATAATTTAATCTATTTTAAGTCTCTATTTCTTTTAAAAAAAGAACTAAGATTATTCTTAAAAATAATTTTTAGATTTTTTGGAAATCTAACATAAATATGTAATATTTTTAGAATTTAGAATTTTTAAACTTATATATATATCTTGAATTGATTTTTACTTATTATAAATGGAATATGGTAAGCTTATTCTTCTTTTATATATGCATATTTGGATATAATAATAACAAAAGTTAAAATAATATCCTTGTAGTACGGATTATGTTTTATTTAATAAGAAATTAGAGGACATTACAAAATTTATTATGAGGTCTAGTGGCTCCAATGCTTTGCATAATAAAACCACATTTATGTGCTTGATCAAATTTTGGTAAAAAATTCTATTATTTACAATTCTTTAAATGTATTTGGTTTTGTGTGTGATCACCAAAAAATCAGTATTAGTGTTATTGAAGCAACACAATAGTGAAAAAGATCTCAAAGATATAATTTGAAGTAGAAGAAATAAATTATTTTTTTTTGGATTTTCGTAATTGGACAAAAAAATATGCTTGTGCAACAAGCATTGCAAAAACGAAATTAGAAAAAAATAAAAAAATAAAAAAATAAAAAATAAAACTTATAGAAAAGACAAACATGAAGTGAGAAGACATTCTTTTAAATAAATAAATATATATATATATATATATATATATATATATATATATATATATATATATTTTTTAAGAGATATATTGTGTAATGATATGAATGAAAATTCAACATTAATGTTACAAAAGAAAATGAAAAGTTTATACATAAAAAAGTTAATATGTCAATTGTACATAATATATATATATATATATATATATATATATATATATATATATATTAATCACTTAAATGTATAAAAAGATGCTATAAGATTTAAAATTATTGATGTTAAAGAAATACTTTTATTGGTATTGAATTTTTTGCATCTATCATCTAAACATTTGATCAATATTTTATTGTATAGATAAAATAAAATTGAATTAAATGAGATCATTTTTTCACTCTTATTTAATAAGATAGAAAATAATATAAGACTTTATAATTTGGATTAATATGCATTAAAAATAAGTAATTAAGTAATGGCACAATAAAAAATATATCCTAGATCAAGAGCTTTATTTATAATAAAAGATTCAATGTAATAAATTTTTAATTTTAAAAATTTTAAAAATAGTTATATAAATAAATTTTTATTTTTAGTTAAAATATGATGGTAAAATATTTCTTTATTTTAACCATTAGATGTAATAGATTTAAGAGTTTAAAGAT